GACCATTGGCCGGAGCATGATACATGGAAGACTTGTGCTGCTTGAACTTGTATTTCTCGTAAAGTTTGTCCATAAATCAGTTGGAGAACTTTTTTTTGTTGTCGGTGATGATGTAGCAAGGCACACCATATTGATAAATGATACGCTATTTGATGAAACGGATGATAGTTTCCCTCTTCACTTCCCTTAAGGGTACAACTTCAGCCCACTTGGAGAAGTAATCTGTTGTAGCTAGGATGTAGGCTTCTCCAGCAGACGACTTTGGTATGACTGGTCCTACGCATCCAATCGTATAATGTAATGGCTCAGGTAGTTGACGTATGAAGTTGGTGTGGAATTGGCAGGCTTGGCACCTTTTGGCGTGTTCCAGGTAATCCTTCACCATGCTTGGCCAGTAGTAGCCCATCATTTTGAGTTGGAAGTGCAGTTTTGGTCCAGATTGATGCACTCCGTGTACGCCTGAGTGTGCTTCTTCCATGGCTTGATTAAATTCTTTTTTACCTAAGCATCTTAGAAGTATTCATTCAAAAGAGAGTCGGTAGAGTGTTTCTTTGTAGTAGAGGAAGCGAGGTGCTCGTTGACGTATTTCAGAGCGGTGTCTAGGATCGTCTGGAAGTTTTCCATGCTCCAAGTAGTTGATCAGCGGCTATCTCCACTCTTCAGTGTCGACTGGAAGTACTGAGATGACGTTTGTTTCATCTAGTAGCATTTCAATGACGGGCAAGATCACCCATTTTTGGCAAACTGGCACATCTGTAGCTTCATCTTCTCCTAGCACCATACTTGAGGCTAAGTTAGCGAGAGTGTTTGCCATTTGATTTTCTTTTCTTGGCACATGTTCTAGCATCATGGCCTCGAACTTTCGGAGCAGTTGAGTTGCTAGGTAGAAGTATAGGATGAGATCATCCTTCCTCACTTCATATTCAGTCAAGAGTTGATTGATTATAAGCTTGGAGTCGCCATACACTTCTAGCATTGTGATTTCCATGTTGACAGCCATATGGAGTTTGATAATTAGCTATTAGTATTCAGCAACATTGTTGGGGCATAGCTTGCTTAGCCAGAAGAAATAGGGTAGTATTTATCTTTGTGGTGACATGAATACTACTCATGCCCCCACTCCGTCTGCTCATGCGAATCCGTCGAAGAACATTGTCCATGTCGAGAAGATGTCGACGTAAAACACCGCCTCGTCAGGCAAGTCGTTTGAGATTTTCCAATCGACTGAGATTGGATAATCGGTAAGGAAGTCTGTTAGTACTTATCTCTTGATGACTTTAGCTAAAATGCAGATGATTTCGTACTAATTGAGAAGTAATGCCCATTTCGCTAGTTACCCTGTCAAAATTGGCTTGGACATGACATATTTGACTGGGTCAGCTTTGGCAACCAAGTGGATAGTGTAAGTATGTCTGTAGTGTCTAAGCTTTTGGATGACAAAAACTAAGGTAAGGCACATCTTCTCAATTGGTGGATAGTTGAGCTCGAGGCTAGTGAGAGTTCTATTTAGGTAGTAGAGGGCTCTTTCTTTTTTGTCTTTGTTTTCTTGGGCCAAGAGTGCTCCAAGGGAACCTTTTTGCACAACAATGTATTAAGCAGCTTTCCAGGCATGGGTGTTCCTAAAATAGGTGGGCTTGCCAGGTACCTTTTTATGCTTTCAAATGCCTTACGACATGTGTCATCCTATATGAATGAAGCATCTTTCTTTATTAGTTGATTGAAAAGTTGACAGTGTCTGGCGAGGTTGGAGATGAATCGTCTTATGAAGACAAGCCGCCCTTATAGACTTTTCAGCTCGTGTAGATTCCTCGGCTCAAGCATGCTTTGAATGGCCTTAATTTTTTTCTGGTCCACTTCAATACCACAGTGCTTGACAATAAAGCCGAGGAATTTCCCAGAGGTGATACCAAATGCACATTTTAACGGGTTCATCTTGAGGTTGTAGTGTCATAGTTTGTAGAACACCATTCGTAAATCCTTCAAGTGATCAGATTTCTTTTTGGTCTTGACAACTACGTCATCTACGTAACATTCTGCATTTTTATGTAGCATTTCATTGAAGATCTTCTGCATAGCGCGTTGATATATGGTTCTTTAAACCAAAATGCATTACCTTGTAGCAATAAATACCTTTTGGGGTGCGGAAGCTTGTTAGTTCCTCGTCTTTGGGAGCCATGCGGATTTGATTATACCCAGATAAGCCATCCATGAATAATAGTGCTTCATGGCCAGCGGTTGTGTCCACTATTATTTCAATGATTGGTAAAGGAAAGTCATCATTTGGGCAAGCGTTGTTAAGGTCTCGGAAGTCTACACAAACATGTATTTGTCCAGATTTTTTAAGGACAATGACAATGTTAGAGATCCACTTAGGGTATTGCATTTCTCAAATGAAGCTTGCTCCGATTAGCCTGTCAATCTCGGCCTCAATTTGTGGGATGAGTTCGGATCAATATCGTATTTGAGTTTGCTTTATCGATCGCGTTCCAGGCTTAACTGCCAGATGATGCATAGCATTGGTAGGGTCAAGGCTGGGCATTTCCTTGTAGGTCTAAGCAAAGATGTCCTTGTACTCCAAGAGTAGTTGGTAGTATTCTTTGATCTCATCTGCGCTTAGTAATGCACTTACGAAGATAGGCTTTGGTTCTTCGCTTGTGCCTAATTTGAGCTCCTTGAGAACATTAACCATGGCTTGCCCTAACCGGTCTTCGAGTTGTGGTGACGTAGTAGTGACATCCTCTTCAAGAACTTCATCTTCCTCATCCTCTTGGATCGTGATGTGGAAAATGTCTTGGACCTCCTCTTCAGTGTCATCCACTTGGGCTTGTTGGCATGTAGATTCACCAATGTGGATGATGGTGCACTTTTTTACCTTCAGTTGTCTTTTTGTGTCCACTTCTAAGGTTGCTTAGTGCTTCATCCTTAAAAGAATCGAGCTACGAACGCCATCTTTTCTTACTAGACTGTCGAGCTCTTTTTGTCATTTAGCATTGTCTTCCTCTTTTCGTCATTTGGCATTGTCTTCCTATTTCTAGAAATCTTCTTGGTCTCTACAAGTCTTTCCAAGGCAGACCATCAAGGAGGAGAGCTAGCTGTGTTGCTTTGTTTCTTAGGTTTTGACAACCTTTTGAAGACAGAGCTTTGGGATGTTGGCGTGTTAAGCCGTTTGAAGATGAAAATTTGTTCTTGACCTCCAATGCGATCAAGTGCCGAAATTCTGCATTTTGAACTATTCAACCTATCGAAGACTGATGTTGGAGAGACGGGTTTAGGCTCCTCTTGATTTTGTTCAAAACTTACGCTGATGTGTTAAGCGCTAGCGTTTTTCGCTGTTCTTAAAATCCTCATGGGTGTATTTGGTGTGAAGCCAAGTCCAGCTTTGTTGTTGTTAACTCTGCAACCATGCTTCTTCAATTTCTTTTGAGTCTCGGTGAGATCACATTCTTTGTCATTGACGATGTTTGCATTCTTCTTTCCAAGATTTGAAGAGGAAGTGAAATCGTACCCAGCCTTTGACATGAGTTTGTAGGCGTTTGGGTCAAAGCCTTCTTTGGTCTTCTTGGTTGGAAAGGAACTTGGTTCCGTCCCTTTTAGCAGGGGTTGTATGAAGCCTTACGGTGGCTTTGAGATTTTAGCATCGCCTAGCTATATCAGAGGTAAAACTGCATTTGCCTTGAGCAGGTTTATGTTGTCCTTGTGCAGTTGTGTGTCCGCTTTGCTTGTTTCGAATGGGGATTGCCCACTCTTTATTCTCAACATCGAGATGTATTGGAAAACAGGTGTGTTTGATCATTTTGAGGGCATCACGTTCCCTTTGATTGTTGCGGGCTTAGTAGGCTCATCGTCGTTTTTGCTTAAAGATGGCATGGCTTCCCCTTCTTACTCTTTAGGCATGGTTTGCCACTCCTTCTTTTTGGGTACGGCTTTGCCTGTGGACTTAATCTCTTTTGGAAGAGCTTCAGATATCGTATCTTCATTTATATAGAACTTGGTGTCCACAAAGTGTGATTTGGCTTCGATGAATGGCTTGGTGTCACCTTATATCACCTTCACTTCTTCTCGATATTATTTTAAGCATTAGTGGAGGGTGGACGGCACCACTCCATTTTCATGGATCCAAGGCCTTCCCAAGAGCAAATTGTAGGAAGTTCTCGCATCAATCACATGGAATATTGTGCTCAACTTGAGTTCGCTAATGGTCATCTTCACGCAGACCATGCCCATCACTCTTTGTCCTCCTTGGTTGAAACCTTGAATTAGCAGACGGCTTTGGGTCAGTTTACCCACCTTAATGCCGATTGTAGTCATTGTTGACTTTGGCATGATGTTTATGGCAGAACCACCATCCACAAGCATGCAGTTGACTTTGTGATCCTTCACATACCCAGAAACGAAGAGATGATGGTTGTGAAGGTTTGACCCTAGTAGCAAGTCTTCGTTAGTAAAGGTGATTACGTCATGGGTGGCACAACATGTGGCATATTCATGTGGCCAAAGCTCCAAGCCTTTGTCCTTGCTTTCTTGCACTTCGTAGTCGTTGACACTAGTACAAAAAACACTTTGCGCGACGCAGGTCCTTCGTCGCACAAAGTCAAAAAAATGTCGTGCAAAACTTAGTGCAACGGAGCTTCGTCGCGCACTAACCGTCGCGTCAAGGCAGTGACAGAAGGGTTTGCGCGACGAAAAAGAAATATGCATCGCGCAAAACCTCTTTGCGCAACGTAGTCTGCATCGCGCAAAGTCACCTTGCACGACATAGGCTGCGTCACGCAAAGAGGTTTTGTGCGACTCAGGGACATGCGTCGCGCAAAGTCACTTTGAGCGATGCAGCCTATGTCGTGCAAAGTGACTTTACGCGACGCAGACTACGTCGCGCAAAAAGGTTTTGCACAACATATGTTTCTTCTTCGTCGCGCAAACCCATGCTTTTTTTTTTTGGCAAAAATAATTTTTATTTAATTTTTTATAAATATTGTAATTAAATTAGAAACAATAATTAATAAACCAAGAAAAAGTATTTAATTATAAAATATATGAAAATGTACATACAAGATATCCGAACAAAAAAGAAAAAACCACAACAAATAGTTTCCAAAGAAGAATGGTGTAAAGTTGGAGAACAAAGGCTCCTTGGTTTCAGGATTCTTCTTCTCATGTTGGTGATCCTCGACGCCATAGGACTGAAAAAAAGTTGCATATGCACTTACCTGCAAAGGAAAAAAAAAAAACTTTTCAGCACTTGAAAATGATCACAAAAACCAAAAGCTTTCCAGATTTCAAATCCTTGCAAGAAGAAAGCAACTAAGTAGCAATGCAAAATGTTCAGGAGGAGTTAAGAATTAAAAAAAAAAGGTGTAGAGAATCAATCAGTAAGGATACATTAGCCTTACCAGATTCAATGAATGAGAAAGCTTGATTGTCTGCAATATGCCCGATTTATCAGCTTCCTTGTTGGGAAAAATCTCAACTCTGCCCTTGCTTTTGAACGTATAAGGATCACTACAATGTTGGATGCAAATATCAGTCTAACATTCATTTCTTATCCCAAATAGAAATCAATATTCGCCAAAGTTGAGAAGAAAAATATATTGGAAAAAGAAGGGTTGGTTGCTAGGAATAATACCAAAAGTCAATACATAAACATTAATATTTCTAGTTAGGTATATTAGTTGAAGAGAAACATGGATCAATAAAGGAGTACACAAAATCGTAAATGGAAAATCAGGGAGCTTATCAATTATTTCACCATAGTGTCAGAAGCCAGTCAGTAACAGCAGAAGGCTAACCTCTGAGGCACAGAGTTCAAATCAGCAAGGGAATCTTCAACTTGGAAATTTTCTCAAGTGCATGGATGAGGGTTACAACCTTGTATCAACAAAGAAGCAAATTAAGTCAATTTTGCTCCTTAAACACAAAACTAACAGAAGGAAGAGTTGCATTTTACACACAGCACCTGCAACAATTTTATGTCTGGATTTTTTATATTTGCATGTAAATGGGTATTTGACTGTGGCCGAAAGAGACAACTGTGTCAGCAGTCAGCACTCAAGAATTTAGGATATAAGGCTGTAGAATTTGAAATAAACACTGTACCATTTCTAATCTAACAATAAGTGCAACATTGTCCTGAAAAATTGCGTACAAGAAGCTGATATAACAAACAGATGAGAAGCAGAAACAAGAGCCTTACTAGAACAGAATGCACATTAAAGACCATACAAGAAGCTGATATAACAAACAGATTGGAAGTGTTTCTAACCCTCCAAACTACTTCTCTCACTCTTTTAACATGTTATATTGCATCTAATATAACCAGGAAGATCGCCATTGATTTAAAATCATAGTGTTCTTTTTAAGGGGAATATAATTGGATGCTCCCTGCCCTTATTAGATTTTACTTGAAAATATATCAGCACAAGTAAACATACATACTAGTCTACAAGTAAATGTCACCTGTAAATTTAGGCCCAGAAACAAGCCTTAGATGGTAGCTTGAAGGATCGCTCTTCAACCAGCCAGCCAAAACATACACCACTTTGAACCCATTTTCATGCTTTTCAACAAACTCCTGGAGTAACCTATACAAAACAACTTTTAATCACTTGTAAACAAGAAATGCAACCCACATGCTTTGAGACAGTTCCTATACCTCTTTGCAGCATTCATAGACACCAAGTAATTTCAACTCAGCCTCTTATAGGAAACCTATAACATAATTTAGCACCGAAAGTAACTAAATTTAGACAATCTTATACAAATTTAAACACATCTTAACTCAAATTCCAATCAAGAATTTTTTTTTTAGTAGGTATACATGAAATTGAATGTATAATCAATCCTAAATGCCCTACCAAAAGGAATAAAACCTTCATCCCCTGCACTCAGTCACCAAACTGCTACTCCACTTCAATGATTCAATATGCGCCTTCCCCCAATTAAGGTGAACAAAATTTAATTTCCTTTTTCAGGACAAAAGGGAGAATATTACACAAAGATGGCATCATAAAGATCCCCAAACACCAAGGTACAAGCACAGAAACTAAAACAAGCTTTAATCAAATGGAGGATTAGAGTAGGAGGGATTGGGGACGCCATGAATTATACACATGGAGAATTGGAGAATAATGCACATGCTTTTGTAATTGGTCGATTTCAGAACCTAAATTAAGGTACTCAATTTAATTTATCTTCTGAGTATAACATAAAAAAGGTGTGTGTATGTGAATGTGATATAGGTCTCTTCCCAATTTCGTCCCAGCAACATAAAAATATTTTTTATTACAGTCATTCATCAAACAAGGTTGGTTTAATCTCTTCTAATGTGCATGCAGCATTTTATGACCTCTTGCCGCATTCTATAACCCATATTAAGGTACAAATGCTTGATTAAAGTGCACAACAAATGGATATTTTTCAGAATTCGCAGAGAGCTAGAGATTAAAATTAACTAACTGAAAAAATATATATGAGAAATTAAGGTGGGCTCTGTGATAAGAAATTAATTAACTTTAAAAAACAGAGACTTATGAAATTGGGGGAAAAGGGCAGCAGATTTTTACCTCTGTGATGGCTGTCGAGACGGCGAGGCCGGCAAGTGCTTGACGCGAGGTTGCAAGGCTGCAACCTGTGAGGGTTTGCAAGGCTGCAAGAGTAAGTGGTGTGAATGATGATGACTAACTGAGAGTGAGGGAGAGGAAGGCGCGGGGAGGAACACAGGCAGAGAAAAAGAAGTGAAGAAACACCTAGGGTTAGTAGTAGAAACCAAAAAAAAACGGTGGAATTGGCTCGGGTATGCAGGGGTGGAGACGCTTGGAAATTTCTGAAGAGGAAAGGCAGAGAAGCTGCGATAGAGAAATGAAGAGGAGGAGATTTTGGGCGCTATGCCAAAATTTTGGCAGCCCTCCAACTTTTAATCTCCCGCCTCCTTCAAATGTTTTTAATTATGTATGATTACTTTATTTTCTTTGTCACAATGTATGATTCTATTAAAATCTATCATTTTGATAGGATACACATTTTACGAAACTAATTTCAATGATCTAACCGTCAAACTTGTTTGTATATACTTCGAGATCTCATACGTCAAAAATTACAACAAACAAACAAACATTCAAAGATCAAGTAACGGGACAAAACTTTTCGACGGTAATAAACGAAAATCACGATTTAACGGTAGTTTTAATTCCGATTTTGATTATTTTTTACAGCTACACTCCTTGATCCTATATGAATACAATGAACAAATTCGATCGTCAATTTAAAATATTTACACTAGTGGATACCACAAAATCTTATGTTATACTTAATGAAAGTATAGATAAACTCCAAGTGTTAGTGAATCTATTATTTTGATGCGATACGCATTCTACAAAACTAATTTCAAAGATCCAACCGCCAAACTTGTTTGTATATTCTTTGAGATCGCATATGCCAACAATTGCAAAAAACAAACATTCAGAGATCAAGTAATGGGACAAAACTTTTCGACGGTTATAAATGAAAACTCACGATTTAACGGTTATTTTAACTCCGATTTTGATGATTTTTTACAGCTACACTCCTTGACCTTATATGAATACAATGAACTAATTCGATCTTCAATTTAATATATTTACACTAATGGATACCACAAAATCTTATATTATACTTAATGAAAGTATAAATAAACTCTAAATGTTAGGGAATCTATCGTTTTGATGGGATACGCATTCTACAAAACTAATTTCAATGATCCAACTATCAAACTTGTTTGTATATGTTTCGAGATCGCATACACCAAAAATCGAAAAAAACAAACATTCAGAGATTACGTACAGGACAAATCTTTTCGATGGCTATAAAAGACAAATCACAATTTAACGGTTATTTTAACTCCGATTTTGATGATTTTTTATAGCTACACTCTTTAAACCTGTATGAATACAATGAACTAATTTGATCGTCAATATAAAACATTTACACAAGTGGATACCACAAAAGAAAAAGGCAATGAAAGAACCCCAAAAGAAAAGCAAAAAAAATAAAAAATAAATAAAAACTTTGCGCGACCTATGTGCAACTGCATCACACAAAACGTCTTAACTCCGATTTTGATGATTTTTTACAGCTACACTCTTTAAACCTGTATGAATACAATGAACTAATTTGATCGTCAATATAAAACATTTACACAAGTGGATACCACAAAAGAAAAAGGCAATGAAAGAACCCCAAAAGAAAAGCAAAAAAAATAAAAAATAAAAAAAAACTTTGCGCGACCTATGTGCAACTGCATCGCACAAAACATCTTTGCCCGACATCACCTGCGTCGTGCAAAATAGCTTTGTGCGACGCCGCTGTACCCACGTCGCACAATTTTTTTTTTTTTTGTTTTTTTTTGTTTTGCCCTTTTGCTCATTAATACAAAACAAATAAATTAAAATCTACTTAGTAAATATATATACCATTGAACTTGATGGGAAACACATTGTACGGAATTCGTTTCAAAGATCCAACGATCAAACTTGCTTGTATATGCTTCGAGATCGCATACGCCAAAAATCGCAAAAACAAATTTTCAGAGATCAAGTAAGGGGACAAAACTTTTCGATGGTTATAAACGAAAAATCACAATTTAACGGTTATTTTAACTCTGATTTTGATGATTTTTTACAGCTACACTCCTTGACCCTATATGAATACAATGAATTAATTCGATCTTCAATTTAATATATTTACACTAGTGGATACCACAAAATCTTATGTTATACTTAATGAAAATATAAATAAACTCTAAATGTTAGGGAATCTATCGTTTTGATGGAATACGCATTCTACGAAACTAATTTCAATGATCGAACCGTCAAACTTGTTTGTATATGCCTCGAGATCGCATACGCCAAAAATCGCAATAAACAAACGTTCAAAAATAAAGTAATGGGACAAACCTTTTCGATGGTTATAAATGACAAATCACGATCTAACGGTTATTTTAACTCCAATTTTGATGATTTTTTATAGCTACACTCTTTAAACCTGTATGAATATAGTGAACTAATTTGATCGTCAATTTAAAACATTTACACAAGTGGATACCACAAAAGAAAAAGGCAATGAAAGAACCCCAAAAGAAAAGCAAAAAAAAAAAAAAAAAAAAAAAAAAAAAAACTTTGCGCGACGTATGTGCAACTGCATCGTGCAAAACAGCTTTGCGCGACGCCGCTGTACCTATGTCGCCCAAGTTTTTTTTTTTTGTTTTGCCCTTTTGCTCATTAATACAAAACGAATAAATTAAAATCTACGTAGTAAATATATATACCATTGAAATGGCTAACACGTTGTACGAAATTAGTTTCAACGATCGAACCGTCAAACTTGTTTGTATATGCTTCGAGATCGTATATGCCAAAAATCGCAAAAAACAACATTCAAAGATGAAGTAAGGGGACAAACCTTTTCGACGGTTATAAACGAAAAGTCACGATTTAACGGTTGTTTTAACTCCGATTTTGATGATTTTTTATAGCTACACTCCTTGACCCTATATGAATACAATGAACTAATTTGATCTTCAATTTAATATATTTACACTTGTGGATACCACAAAATCTTATGTTATACTTAATGAAAGTATAAATAAAGGGAATTGTTATTGGCACTCCAAAAATCTCATTCTACACTCCAAACTTTCTATATTTGGGAAGAAAAATACACTTGTGAGGAGTGTAGAATGAGATTTTTGGAGTGCCAATAACACTTCCCTAAATAAACTCTAAATGTTAGGGAATCTATTGTTTTGATAGGATACGCATTCTACGAAACTAATTTCAACGATCGAACTATCAAACTTGGTTGTATATGCTTCGAGATCGCATATGCCAAAATCGTAAAAAACAAAAGTTCAGAGATCAAGTAATGGGACAAACCTTTTCGACGGTTATAAACGACAAATCACGATTTAACGGTTATTTTAACTCCGATTTTGATGATTTTTCACAGCTACACTCTTTAAACCTGTATGAATATTGAATACAATGAATTAATTCGATCGTCAATTTAAAACATTTACACAAGTGAATACCACAAAAGAAAAAGGCAATGAAAGAACGCCAAAAGAAAAGCATAAAAAATAAAAAAAATAAAAAAAATAAAAAATAAAAAATCTTTGCGCGACGTAGGTGCATCTGCATCACACAAAACAACTTTGCGCGACGTGGATGCACTTGCTCTGTGCAAAGTTGGGAAAAAGGTAAAACATTGTAGGTTCGGCGCCAAAACTTTGCGGGACGTAGGTGCACTTACACCGCGCAAAACAACTTTGCACGACGTCGGCCTTCGTCGCACAAAGTGCCGTTGCGCAAAGGCCATTTGCATGACGTTTTGCGTTTGGCGTCGCACAAACAAACTTTGCGCGACGAAATTTTATGCGTCACGCAAACATGTTTTTCTACTAGTGCGAGACTCGCCAAGACTGTTATTAGTGCTCTTTGCATCTCCTTAGGCAATCGTAGCACCTCCTAGATGCTAAGGTATGATGCCAAGCTTTGTTTAGGCATGGGAGTTTTCTCTTGATTGTCAGCGATAACTTTGCCTTTTAAAGACTCTTCTATCTCTACTTTAACCATGAGATAGGCAGCGGTAGTGCACTGTTAGAAGAAATCCTTCTGGAAGTACTCGTGCAAGGAGACGAGAATGCGTGGCTCTTGCTCCATAAGTTCCCCAGCGTACGTCGGCTTAGCAGCTCTTACGTTTTTCTTGGGCTTCTTATGGTTGCGATGACTTGATCTCGGACGAACGGTTGAACGATTGCTTCAAGTTTTATGCTTGAAAAAAATGCGTAGATGATCTTCACCTCAAGGGTGCGGTAAAGGTAGTGTTTGATGCGGGATTTCATTGCTTCAAGGGTCTTGGCGACGTGATCTTGAAACGAACGTTGCTACAAGTTTATAAGCTTGTAACAAAGTCTTGAAGGAATTGGCACGAGCGCTTGTTGATTCTTCAAGGAAGTGCTTCGGCTTTGGTTGAATGTTCTTTGAAGAGAGCTTTACCAGCGTATTAGCCTTTAAAGATTTTGCAAGGGTTCTTCTATGTAGAGATTTTTCCAACCCTTATGCTTGTGGGAGGACCTTGTATTTATAGGCTTCTCAAGGCTTGCCTTTGGGATGATTTTAGGCATTTTTGTGTCTTAATTTCAGCCACTTTACTCCCTTGGCCAAATTCAAGGATCTTGTTGCCTATTTTGTGAGCAATCTTCAATTCTTACTTATTTTATAAAGATGTTTTAACTTTCTTTCCAGTTTTAGGATCAATTTGGATTCCCTAGCCGAATTTAAGGGGGTTTTCTCCCTTGTGCTAAATTTTGGGAATGTTTTATACTTCCCTTGCTTGATTTATGCCACATGTCATCGATGACTTGTCTATTTGTGATGAGTCATATGCCACGTGGAGCTTTGTGATGCACCTTTTGTATGCAACGAAATTTACGTATCTACAGTGAATGACTATCAGTGTTTTAAAGAACGCGCCTCGAGGCGTGCCTAGGGCGCCCTTGAGGCTGGGCGGAGAGGCAAACGCCTCAGTTTTGCTGGAGTAGGCGAAATGCTTCGCCGGAGACGCCGAGGCGGCGGAGGCGCGCCTCAAGGCGTCTGGACGTTTTTTTTTTTTTTTTTTTTTTTTTTTTTTTTAAAAACTATCAAAACCCAAAACGACGTCGTTTGGGTAAGATTTTCAGTCTTCATCACCCACCATACCTTCGAATTCGACCCCTGCCTCTGCCTTTTGCCTTCTGCGACTCTGCCTTGCTTCTTCTGCGACCCCTGATTTTCAGTCTTCATCACGCCGCCATCACCCCGCCGCCACGCCGCCATCACCCCGCCGCTGTCACCTCAGCGCCATCAGCCCAGCCCCAGCGCCGTCAACAAGATCCCAAAGGTTAGGGTTTCTGAAATTAGGGATTTATTTTCTGGGGAAGGGGTTAATAGTTCTCTGGGGTTAATGGGGATTTAGTTTTCTAGCGAGGATCTTAAAGAAAAGTCCTCTGTAATAGTTCTCTGGGGCCGCTGTTTTCTGGGGAAGGTCGAAGATGGTCTGCGAGAGAGAGAGCGAGAGAGAGACAGAGAGAGAGAGGAAGAAGCAAAATACAAAACAGGGGACAGACAGAGTCTTATGCCATAGAAAACAATAGAAAACAATTTATTAATCTCTGGGCCGGTGTTTGCAAACTGTTTTGCATTTATAGTTTTATTCTTATACCATAAATTGTTTTGCATTTATAGTTTTATCTGTGTGGCTGCCATAAATTGTGTTCATGTGCACTGCCATAAATTGTGTTCATGTGTGCACTGTCATAAATTGTGTTCATGTGCACTGCCATAAATTGGCACTTAGATAAATTGTTAGAAATTGTTAGAAATTGGCACTAAAGGGTTAATTGTTAATAAATTAATTAAAGGATTAATTTATAAATTAATTAATAAATTGTTAGAAATTGTTAGAAATTAATTAAGGGTTAATTGTTAGAAATTGTTGGAAATTGTTGGTATTGGTATATAAATTAATTAATAAATTGTTGGTTCATTAATTGTATGCATGCATCTATTGTTTATTGTTTAGGGTATTGAAGAATATGGCTTCTTCTTCTAAGAAAGATTTTGCTTGGCAATGGACAAAAGATTTGGATCCTATCACTAAGCACTTCTATTGTGTTTTTTGTAACCACAAATGCACGAGTTCAATTTCTAGATTCAAACATCACTTGGGTGGTGTAAGTTCGGGAGGAATGATAAGTTGTAAAAAAGTCCCACCCAATGTGAAAGAAGAATGTTTTGCTAATGTCATGGGAACTAAAGAAAAGAGGAAAGCTAGTCATGAGTTGTATCGTGGTGGTGAAGAAAGTGAAAGTGTCGATATGGGCACAACAAGGACAGCATATGTAAGTAGTGGGAGTGGGAGTGCGAGTGCCACACATTCACAACAAATCGGTTCTTTGCTACCACCTAGGTCAAGGGGACCACTTGATAGGTATGTTACATCGGAAGCTCGTCAAACCACTTTGAATACAGCTTTCAAAAAAGAGGAAAGAAGACAAGCATCCCGAGCACTTGCTCGATGGTTCTACACTAGTGCCATTCCATTCAATGCGGCAAACAATGAATATTATGTTAATGCAATGAAATTGGTGTCCAATTTTGGTCCCGGCTTTGATGCTCCTACAAGCCATGAATATAGAACTTGGATGCTTAAAGAAGAAGTTGATGATGTACAAAGTATGATGAAAGAACATCAAAAGGCTTGGAAGAGATATGGATGCACTATTATGTCGGATGGATGGTCGGATGGCAAAAGTAGATGTTTAATCAACTTTCTTGTCAATAGCCCTCAAGGTACTTAGTTCTTGAAATCGATTGATGCATCGGCCTCTATTAAGAATGGAGATTTGTTGTATGGCTATTTGGATGACGTTATTCAAGAAATTGGGGAGGAGAATGTGGTTCAAGTTATATCTGACAATGCTTCGAACTACAAGAATGCCGGGGCAAAACTTATGGAGAGGAAAGAGAAGGTGTGGTGGACTCCATGTGCGGCTCATTGCATTGATTTGATGTTAGAAGATATTTCTAAGATGGCATGGTTGGATGACACACTCAAACGTGCTAGGTGTATTTCAAAGTATCTATATGGGCATCAATGGGTACTAGCTTTGATGAGAAAGTACACTAACAATTCGGAAATTCTTCGTCCGGCGGTCACTAGGTTTGCCACTTCTTTCCTTACACTACAAAGCTTACAAAAGCAAAAGGAAAATCTTGTTGCTTTGTTTACCTCTCAAGAATGGTCGGAAAGTACCTATGCAAAATCCCGTGAAGCAAAGTTGGCTAAACATCACGTGTTATATGATCGTGAGTTTTGGGGTCGAGTTTCCTTTTGCATTAAGGGCGTTCTTCCTCTTGTTTGTGTTTTGAGAGAGGTTGATTCGGAGGAGAGACCCCCCATGGGTTTTATATATGAGTTGATGGATGCCGCAAAAGAGAAAATTGCAAGCAATCTTAACAAAGTGGAGAAAAAATATATGCCTATTTGGAGAAAGATAGATCGTAGATGGGACGATCAACTTCATCAACCACTACATGCGGCGGGCTATTTCTTAAACCCACAATTTCGATATGAGGATAATTTCTCAGATACTGATGAAGTGCGAAATGGGTTGTTTGCTTGCATGGATAGGATGCTTGGGAAGGGGAAAGAACGTGAAGAGGCCGATGTTCAATTGGATTTATTTACTAATAAGCGTGGTCCATTTGCGGATTCTATGGCTATGCAAACTAGGAAAAAGCGAACACCAAGTAAGATTTAATTAATTAATTGTTAATATCTTTTTATCATTAACTTTTAAATTACTTACCTTATTAATATTGGTTTTTTAGCGGCTTGGTGGGAGCGCTTTGGGCATAAAACACCCGAGTTAACGAAATTTGCTATCCGAGTTCTAAGCCTTACTTGTAGTGCATCGGGATGTGAGAGGAATTGGAGCACATTTTCAATGGTAAGTAAATATATTATTAGTATCTTAAGTGTCATTTTTGCTTAAAATGTTTAGACTTGAATAATAGAATTGATTTATTTGTAGATTCATACAAAAAGAAGGAATAGGCTTGAACACAAAAGGCTTAATGCTTTAGCCTATGTCAAGTACAATTTGGCTTTACAACAAAGAAGTAAGAAAAGGATGGAGAAGTATGATCCTATTGTTGTGGAAGAAATTGCCTCTGATGATGAATGGATAACAGAGATAGAAGATCCCGTTCTTCCGGAAGATCCTACATGGCTTGAGGATGAGTTATTGTATAATGTTGAGGCCGTAAGGAATGTGCCAACCCCGGTTTATGAAGGTGGCTCATACATTCGAGAGCCTAGAGAGTCTTCTCCTCCTCCTCCTCCTCGTGAGCCTACTCCTCCTCGTGAGCCTACTCCTCCTCCTCCTCCTCCTCCTCGCGAGCCTACTCAACCTCAGGGTCCTATTACATACAAAAGAAAACGGGGTAATGAAGAATCCTCAAGTAGAACTAGAAGAAATGTGGAATATGATTCGGAAGATTCTTTTGATGAAATGATGAGATACCCGACAAGTTCATCTAGAGTTGGCAATGAAGAGGATGATGATGCCTTTTATTTAGATGAAGAGGACTTAGATGAATGATTGTTTTCTTTGTTTGTATTACCTTTTGAATGATGAATTTGGGTGATATTACCTTTGAATGATGAATTTATGTTTTCTTTGTTTGTATTACCTTTTGAATGATGAATTTGGGTGATATTACCTTTGAATGATGAATTTAAATGATATTATCTTTTGAATGATTGAGAATGGATGTTTATTTTACATAGTATTATTTTTAATACAATTATATGTATAATATATAAAACATATATATAAAAAAAAATTAAATCCCGTAAGGCTTCGCCTCACGCCTCACGCCTCACGCCTCACGCCTAGGCTAGGCTTCACCTCGGACGCCTCGCCCACGCCTCACGCTTTTAATACATTGATGACTATTCAATTAGATAATCTCTAACAAACGAGGCATACATGTGTAAATTGGTCCAAAGTAAGGCCTAGACATGAAAGGTGAGGACATATAGATTTGATTAGATTTATATGAACTTCAATGTTTTATATTGAAAAGTGAATTCACACTTTTTTTTTCACCTTGTACACTTTTGTTTGTTTATGATATTTAAATTATCTAAAAAAATACAAAATAAGCAAGTGGTCATATTTCTACCAAGTTTGGCACATATCGGGTGTCCTGTTTGTTTTGCCCTTAGACCACCATATGATATACTTTCTAGAAAAAAAAAAAATTATTATTAAAGAGAGGGGGAGTGTTTGAAACTATTACATCAATATTGGGAAGGATAGAGTTTTGAATTCAGGATGCATGAGTAGAAATTCAACACCCTATTCACTAAGATATTAGACCACATAAACTATATAATAATACTAATTTCCAATAAATGTTAGGCTATGTATCCACTTCTTCAATTTTGTTCCATCTTGGTTCATAAAAAGTCCAAGGGATTCCAAATGAAAGAGAATGCACTAGCTTGTCTGGTAAATATTTCAATTTATGTTTTATTTTTTATTTTTTATATGTAAGACATGGTGGAAACATATGAGGGGAATGAAGGATGAAGAAAGTGGTGAGAGTGAGGGGGATAAATAAAGAATAAAGATTGAAAAATAAAATCTTGAAAATGTAAATAGCTTAAATAGTTTTCGGTTTGATTATTATTTTCACTATTTCTAAGATAAAAATTATCAAAAATTAAAAACGAAATGGTTATAAAACCGGCTCTTACCTTCTTTATTTTTTTGTAATGTTATTCCTTTATATATGTACAAATCATTTTTGATATCAGTAACAGTTACTATTTTTATGATTTTGACTTGTATTTTTTATGATTGTGACTTGTGGTTAAGGATAAAAACTAAGCCAAGTGGCGTTCTGAAAAAAAGAGTTTAAGAAAATCGCAACAGTGATACAAGCGAGAAAATGGTGGTGGGAAAGTTGAATGCACATCCTCAAGTGCAAAGATAAAAGCTCTAAATGCTTCGAGCAACAATTACCTAGTGTTGAAGTATATTAATTTATAAAAACTTGCAGTTTAACACAAGCTCTAAGTTACTGGCAGACCAATTAGAGGAATGATATAACTAACGAAATGAACTTTACAATATTTTTACAATCATTTGAGCGCAATTGAGCATTATAACTAAATACCAAATCTCAAACTGAAGACAGTAATTAATCAAGTTACATAACTTGTTGAGGTCAATTAATTTTTGGTTTTTTTCTTTCAGTTTTAAACTGAGAGAAAGGGAAATACAGAAAAATGGAATTCCCAGATCAGGAAAGTTTCAGTCATCTAAAATCTAAAATTAATTCCTTTCAGCACTGAAGAGCTAAGCCATCCTCTTTCTGCCAAGTCCTTTATATTATGCTCACCTTGATATGTCACAAATTGTGGGATAGCCTAACTGCTCAATTTCCCAGCTTAGCTTTGAAGCAACTCTTTCATGGCGTGGAAAATATTCCTGATGAAAAAAAAAAAAAAAAAAAAATGCAGTTCAAGTTTAATTAGGACATACAATTACAGAAGAACCGAATAATGTTTCTTTATATTTTAAGATTGATAAAAAAGTTGGAAAAACATTTTGATTGATTACCTCCATTTTCTTCACTAACTCCTTGGCAGTAGGAGCAGAAACAATTATGTGGCGTGCTGTTGGACTAATGAAACCTTCCTCTACTGCCTTATCAATAAATGACAACAAGGAGTTATAGTACCCATCCACATTCAGCAAACCTACCTGAAAAATAAAGGACATTTTTAATCCACATATTCACCTCATCACGATTTGAAGAAATAGTGAGAAATAGTTTTGTTGTCAAACTTATGTTTTCAGACTGTGAAATAAGGAATGTCAATTTATTCAAAAATCAAACATGACTGATGATAAAAATTCACAATTTTACACAGCTTGTCTTGAGAACATTTCTCATGATTTAGATGTTCAAAAGATCATAAGACCTCAATTTGAGTTACTCCATTGTAAGGTGTGATGATTTGAACTAATGGAGTAACTTTAAGTAACAAGGTTATGAATAAATTAACTAGGCACAAACACAAGCATTACCGGTTTATCATGAATGCCCAGTTGAGCCCATGCTATCACTTCAAGAAGCTCTTCAAGAGTTCCATAGCCACCTTCATACATTCAAAGAAAAAGGAATAAATAAATAAACAAATAAAAATAATAATAATAATAATCTAAACTACATATTAAAAGAACCCTGTCCGTCAACCAAAAACTAATAAAATTACTATTATACCCTTTTAAACATAACTAAAAGAAAATATTAGAAAAGGATAAAATTGGACATAATAGAATTTCGCACGAACAAATTTTTGTTGTTTTTTTCCTAAACCTCACAACCATGTCATCCTATTAATACATAAACTCACTCTTTCTCTCTCTCATTTGCACCCACCCACGTCCACCTTTTTCCCACTTTTTCTAACTTCCCCAATCAACTATTTTTTTTTTCATAAATTTAATTCAATTCTGTTTAAAATTTTAAAAATTACACAGTGTGTGTACTGCATCTTGTAATAATAATAATAACCTGAATCAGTAATTCACTGGTAACACTGTCCAATCTCCTTTTCTTCCCTTCTTTTCTTAACTAAAGTCAAATGGGCTGGCCACTTTGTCTGTAGCTTTGTACTGAATGAGCTTTGAGTGAACCCAATTAGAGTGAACTTGAGGCCCAAATGTAGGCCCAATATGGTAAATCTTAAAGGGTTAGTGACTGTTTTTTGGAACTAA